CGGTACTATTGTATTAATTACTTAAGTATAATTAAATTAGTAATATCAATACTATAATAGTCTAGTTATATATTTATTAATCCATTTGTAAACAATATTACAAGTGAGTATTAGAAGGGACATTGTGTGATATACTTCATGTAGGATTTATATTCATCTAGTTGTCGGCATATGAAACGCCTTAAATAGTTTTAGTATTATTTTTTTAATTAAGTATAGTGAAATGAAGAATTCGAATGATTCTTATTTCGTCACAATTTTTACAAAATATCGCCATTAGATCTATCGACAACATTTTGCGACAGGGATACTTATAATTAGCATTTAATAATGCAGAATTTATTTTATAAACTTAGTATATACAGTGGACAGTTTATAGTATATATATATTAGGTAATTAATTATCATTGTGATTTATCAAAAGGACTAGTTGTGTATTTTTGTAATTACACCATTTATACGTTTTTATTTGTTAGAATACATGAATTAAAATATTGAAGTGTTATTTTATTTAAATACTTATGTAGAATTTTTAATAACCTATTAATAAGGTGACAATATGATTTAGGCGAAAACCGGGACGTCCATTTAGTAGTAGGTGCTTATTTTCTAAAATTGAAAATACAAGACGAAAATTATTAATTTTCGTAAGATTGGAATTAAAAAGTTTGAAACTATCAATGCGAGATTCTATTTTAACATGATCTGATATTGCATTCGAAAATTTTCCCCATTCATATCCTATTCTTTCAGCATGGCATACTTATTGTTTACATCATGTTTAGATATTTGTAATTTTATCATCACGTAATTCTGAAACCTCAGTTTATACATTTATTTCTTAAAAGCGCAGGACAATCCGGAACAAAAAATAAAGTCCAAGACAAATATTGCTTTTAGGAACCCGGGACACAAGGTGGAATTCCGGGACTGTCTCGACCAAACTGGGACGTATGATGATATGGTATAGGCGTTATATAAATATTTTCCATAAATAAATAAATAAATAAATATATTTGTGAGCATTTAAATTTTATTCATAGAATATAGTTATAATAATAAGCATTTTAGTATAGTTTTATCAAACACGACATCAGAAGCAACTTAAATGTATTGCGTAATCCATATAGTATAGTACTTCAAATGTCTCAGCTCATTTTGCTGTTGTTATTTAACTGACTACTTCTTGATCAATTCATAGCAGTTAAAAATGATCATAATGTGTTAAAAATGTGAAGAAGTTCTGGTAAGATGCAGTTTAAATATATATCGTATGATTGGAAACACGTGCTTCGCAAAATGTTCATGAAGTTGCAATTGCAATTTCACAATGGTTCCATTTCGGCACTAACTCCAGAATTATAAAATTTGTGAATAAATATGAAAATATTTGAATGTATTAGTTACTAAAAGTTTTTTGTAAGATTATTGATGCGATCACTGTGCTACCTGCTGATATAAGGACTTTAATGAAAATTACTAGGTTCTATGGAAAAGTTCTACAAGAGGCTTCTTGGTATCGGTATTCAATTGAATTACAATGGTATGGTATTATTAAACTAATTATCTAGTACTTTTTGGTGAATTTTACTCATGCTAGATGAAGAAAAGGCTGATCCGTGCATTTGTATAATTACAATAGTTAATTTATCGATCAAAAGCAATATTTAAATGGCTATAACTTGATTTATATATGTGTGAATATACTAGCGCAAAATTCATATCTTGCCACGTGTTATAAAGGATTTTAAATTATTTTGAGTACAAGTTAATAACCACAAAATCTTAGTGAAAAAATCCGTAGATAGATACCTTTGAATATTTCATTTGAAAATAAAACCACAAAAACTTAGTGAAAATTCCGTGGATTAGATACCTTTGAATATTTTATTTGAAAATTTAATTTATTTTTTTCATGTGATTGTTTTTTTTAACGTCAACCTATTGATGAATTCCACACATTCTATCATTTACCATAGCGCAGACCATCAGCATTTTTAAATTTCTGTAATATAATATAATAATATGCAGAAGAAAGGCAACGTTTTTCCAATAAAATCCCAACAAATTTTCATAACCAGCAAAAATTGAATTGCACAAAAATATATCTATTTTTTTATCTGAGACTATGTAAATTAAATATAACGTGCCACCAGGTGAATGAACAATTAATATCAGGTAGAACCTCTGATGTAAAATATAAATATCTTCTCTAATGGTATACGTTAGTTAAATATTTTCAACATTTTCTTGAATGTTATTAAATAATTTTATCAAAAAGATTATCTTTGATTCAGTGAATTTATCTTTGATTTACAGAACGTATACAAATTTTTGGAAATTACACTAATATTTGCACTTTTTCTTATCTATCGTCCGATGATAAAAATTCTCCATGGTTTATATAACGATAAATTGTATAATCTGTTTCGAATATATTTATTTTATTAATAGTATTTCGTAAAGCAGGTCTTGAAAAC